CCTGTAATCCTAGCACTTTGGGAGGCCGAGGTGGGTGGATCACCTGAGGTCAGGAGTTCAAGACCAGCCCGGCCATCATGGTGAAACCCCATCTTAAAAAAATAGTAAGAATTTAAAAAAAAAGAAGAAGAAAGTTATAATAGTAACTTGATTAAATTCCTCGTCTTTCACTTAGTTTTTGGTGTCAAGATGGCATAGCCATTGATGCTAGGTTAATTGATTACAGTATTATTCTATATACAAAACAGAGATTGAGTATCCTAAACTGAAATCCAAAATGTCAGAATTTGAAACCTTTTGAGTCACCAATATGATGCTGAAAGGAAATGTTCTTTGGATTTTGAATTTTCAAATTAAGGATGCTCAGTCAGTAAGTACAATGCACATATTCCAAACCTAGAAAAAAAATTAAAACCTGAAACACTTCTGGTGCTAAGCATTTTGGATAAGGAATACTTAACCTATAGTAACTTCGCTGCATTTTTGAGATCTTACATCTTACTGGGCTGCTTTTGTCAGGCCAGGTGTGGTGGCTCATACCTGTAATCCCAGCACTTTGGGAGGCCAAGCCAGGCAGATCATGAGATCAGGAGTTTGAGACCAGCCTGGCCAACATGGTGAAACCCCGTCTCTACTAAGAATACAAAAATTATCCTGGTGTGATGGCATGTGCCTGTAATCCCAGCTACTCGGGAAGCCTGAGGCAGGAGAACAGCTTGAACCTGAGAGGTAGAGATTGCAGTGAGCCAAGATTGCACCATTGCACTCCAGCCTGGGTGACAGAGCAAAATTCCATCTTGGGGGGAAAAAAAATTCTATCATGACAGATCATATATTTTGTTTTGAAGAGTTGCATCCCTTACAGCAAGAGTTTATCAGAGAGAAATGTATAGGGAATATTTGGAATTTGATATAAACTGCTTTCATTTAAGAATAAGAATAAGACTCTTTTTTGTTTGCTTGTTTTTGTTTGTTTGTTTTTTAGAATTCCCATTTGCAGAAACCCTATGAGATTAACCTGATGGAGGAACTAACTCTCAAAGGAGTAACCCAGTACTACGCATATGTAACTGAGCGCCAAAAAGTACACTGCCTCAACACACTTTTCTCCAGGGTAAGAAGTAGGCTTCTGCTATTGAATATTATCTATCATTTAATCCCAGTAAAACAGATGATTTCATCAATTTTCCCACCATCTTCACTATATAGAAGTTCATAGTGTTTCTGGCTGGGCACAATGGCTCATGCCTATAATCCCAGCACTTTGGGAGACCGGGGCAGGTGGATGACAAGGTCAGGAGTTTGAGACCAGCTTTGCCAATGTGGTGTAACCCCGTCTCTACTAAAAAATACCCCAAAAATAGCTGGGTGTGGTAGCAGCACGTATCTGTAATCCCAGCTACTTGGGAGGCTGAGGCCGGAGAATTGCTTGAACCCAGGAGGGGGAGGTTGCAATGAGCCGAGATCTTGCCATTGCACTCCATCTCCGGGCGACAGGGCAAGACTTTATCTCAAGGGGAAGAAATAAAAAAACGATTTTAAAAAAAGTTCATAGTGTTTCCTAAAAGGCAATTTTAGTGGTTGACCTAAACTTGATAATTAAATGATTAACAAGTTGCAGATACTTTTGAATCGTTTCTAAAATACTTTGATTTTTATTAGGTTAATCCTCATTATTTACAGATTTCGTATTTGTGAATTAGCTTAGTCACTAGAATTTATTTGTAACTCCAGAATTAATACTCAGGGCACTTTAGCTGTCATTTGTGGGCATGTGCAATGTGATGAAGAGTTTGAGTCACCTGACACACACATTCCCAGCTGAGGTTGAAGAAGGCAATGCTGTGTCTTGTTTTAGCTCTCATACTGTGAACAAGTGTCCTTGTTCACAGTATGGGCCATGTTTTTCAAGTGTTTATTGCTGAATTCACTGTTTTAATTGGCCCCTACACATGGTGCTGAAATGCTGCCCAGTGCTAGTGGGCATTGGTTGTGAGTAAATTAAAGAAGGTTTTCTTGGCCATGTGCAGTGGCACATGCATGTAATCGCAGCACTTTGGGAGGCCGAGGCAGGCAGATCACCTGAGGTCAGGAGTTGGAGACCAGCCTGGCTAACATGATGAAACCCTGTCTCTACTAAAAATACCAAAAAATTAGCCGGGCGTGGTGGCAGTCACCTGTAATCCCAGCTACTCAGGAGTCTGAGGCAGGAGAATCACTTGAACCCAGGAGGTGGAGGTTACAGTGAGAGCCAAGATTGTGCCATTACACTCCAGCCTGGGCAACAAGAGTGAAACTCTGTCTCAAAAAAGAAAAAAAAAGAGGTACTCTTAAATGGAAACACATAAAATATAGCTACCTGGAATAAGATAATCAATTGTGTTACTCTCATTGACAGTTATGTGGCCCTTAAGAAATATACTCTATGCCGGGCGCGGTGGCTCAAGCCTGTAATCCCAGCACTTTGGGAGGCCGAGGCGGGTGGATCACAAGGTCAAGAGATCGAGACCATCCTGGTCAACA